TAAATTATATCAAGATAAAAAGGAACAAGTTATAACAAAGAAAACAGTGATAAGTACAAGTAAGCCATATAAGTAAGCAATAATAATAATAACAAAGTAAGCCTCGGTGAATAAAGTTTTTATAAAAAAGGAGCTAGTGGTAAAAATGAATTAACTCATAATAAGTATCAATAAATAAATAAACATTTTGAAAGATTAAATAGAAATAGTATTAACCTAATGTCAAAAAATGTAATCGTATTTAACAAAGCATTTTGGCATTTCTTACCTAATAAAATACATCATACAACAGATTAACTAGAGCTGAAACTGTGCAACATGTTCAATATAGCACGAGTGACTCGAACCTGGGACGTTATGAACCACAGTCTAGTGCAACTTAACTATTAGCCCAAGCCCGATAGTTTTAAAAATGGTAATCATTTGAAAGGGTAAACATTGTTAAGAAGGAAAACGAATTTGTATAAATAGTGTTAAAGATATTAATCATATTTTTATATAGCGGATTTTCAACTAGATTCTTTAGGTATTAGCTTATAATATTAAGACTTGATGATAAAACAAACATGGTTATTTTTTAAAAGAAGATTGAAAGTTTTTAGCATGTTTGATATGTACGAAATTGAACAAAATATCTTGAAAAAATTAAAACAGGCTTTTACTTTGAATGATACACATATCCAAGAAGGGAAAGCATTATTTATGTTAGCATCATTCAAACACTAGATAATACCATCTCACCGCGTAACCACTTAATCTATATACTACTAAAACTATGAGATTGTTTGTTTGTTTGCTTGTCTGTAATTAAATACAGCAAAATCGGGAAAATAGCACTGTTACGACAGCGGAAGTCACGTGACGCTGCTGGCTGAGTTTCTCGAATGATTGGGGAAGTCCAGGTGTGTTCGAGATGCTCTCTTCGTTAATATATAAGAGAAAGCCAGCGAAGATAAATGAAGAGAGAGCAGTAGTTACTTTGAGTTCCGTGTAATTTATGATTCTGTTAGTTTCGAGAATAGAAACAGAATAAAACAAGTTTCGTTAAAGTCAGGCCACGGGTTACCGAGTTAGTGTCGTTTTTCGGGTCACTTTTATGAAAATGTCTAGAATGAATGATTTTACATCACACTACCGTTCGCGCTTTTTACGAAACTTCTTCGTTCAAATCTATTTCCCTGTCAATGTTCCCATCTTCATGAAAAGGCGTAAGATGACAAAAACAAGATATTGAAGAATTTCTCAATATTGTGCCTTGGTTATGGTAGGTAATTCAAAGAAAAATAAAGTGTTACTGTTTATTATTTGTAGAAGGATTAAGAAGAAAGACCACAACATAATGAACAAATTCATCACAATACCTGAAAACTCTGACTTTAATATTTTGAAAAATGAAATGGTCTTTCCTTTTACTCCCGATCAACAATCAAATATCTTTTCTTGAATTATGAATAACACGAATGGATTGAAATATTTAATTAAATTATCTCAAAATAAACCTTCATTTCGGTGCAATATTGAAATTAGCTTGAATTATTCATAACCTCTGAATTGTGGGTGACCCAACGGGTCACGGGTCGTCTAGTTTAACTTATAGTTCAACGCAATTCCAATTTAAAACTTTTCCCTAGAATCGATTTAAAAATAACATTCTACATACTATCGACAACGTTATTCAAACTGATCCAAACTGACTTCAATAAACCCAATAATTCCAGCTGTTTTGGATGGTGTATTTATTTTCTTTCGTTTGTTTATTTCGGACATTCGTTCAAAGCAAACGGCTATCTGTGCTAACCGTAATTCTGAAATAACAGACTAGACAAAAGGCAGCTGTTTAACAAGAGCCCACTGCCTACTCTTGGCATTCTTTAATCCGATAGTAGAATTTATCTTCACACATATATAGTGCACTCCAGCCTCTTAAATGTAGAGTGCGATTTACGTCAACCGGATATGAACCCTTAGATTCCTAATCCAGTACGCTGACCACAAGACCACGCCCGGCTCTTTGAATACTGTAAAATATTGTTAATGAGTAATCATGGCAAATTAAGTGATTTATAAAAGAAGTCAAATTTATGTATGAACAATTTCCAGGATAAATCTTTCAGATATAGTAGCATAAACCACTGACCGGTTTTAAACTATTACGCATGGTTGATGATGAACGAAAATTCACTGATTGTGTACGAACGATTCACTTCAAGGCTATATATTTTCTATGAAGATCGTTATATATCATAAAAAAAAATTGAAAACAAGTAAAGTTAAAGATACTAAGTTTGAAAATAAATGACAACAAAAATAATTTTTTCTGGTGTATATAAAGGGCTCTCTTTGTAGGCTGTACGAGCTGGTAGAATTTGTTTGCAATTAGAAATTATAAAATGTTCATAGTTTTGCTCGCTAACGACAGATGGCAATTTTTACATAGTGGATTTTACTTGATAGTTGCCAAATAATTATGTTTGCCTGAAGGGAAACCTCAGTGAAGATACTGTTTAAAGAATCGAGCAGCCATAGCTGATGAACGTAATGCAAGAAGAGTACAGACCATTTTTTAACCATTTGTTTTTGCTATTACTCTTTTCTAAATAAGCTGTATAATTTCAACTGGAGTGTAAAACGTGTGATTTAAATAACAATAACATCAAAAACAGATTTGAGCATCCACTTATGTAAAATAAATAAAAAATAAGATTAGCAATCAGAGGTTACAGAAGCCAATTTTATTTGGAGACAATTACAAAAGCTAAGGAATTAAAGAAACTAAAAACAAAACAAAAGACTTATTAAGTAGAATTTAGCGATTAAAATGAATTATATCCAAGCAAATTCTGTTAAAGAGATCATATCAAAGTAATTACATAAAGGAATACCATCACAGTTTAGTTTGTTTGTTGTTGAGTGTAAAAACTAGACAATGGGTTATATGAGCTGTACACAGCACGAGTATCAAAACCCGGATTTTAGCGAGTGTAAGACGTCAGATTACTGCTGAACCATTGCGGGGCACGATGATAGGAAATCACTTTAATCAAAATCAGTAGTGACAAAAAAAAACACAGTGAATAGTGTTATAAAGAATAATTATATACAAATATTTTGTGACAGAAAACTATATTAACATATGTTGTAATAAAGAGTAATTGTATCAAGGTATATCGTGATAGAAAGTAATTATATCAAGGTATGTTGGAATAAAGAGTAATTGTGTCAAGGTATATCGTGATAGAGAGTAACTATATTAAGATATGTTGTGATAGAGTAATTACGTCAAAATAAGTAGTCAAAAAAGTTAATTGTATCACAATTTTTTACTTTATTAAATGGGTTGCTATTGACACATTGTACTACACCTTTCAGATTAAAATACAGTTAAAATTATATTTCTAGTATTAATTATAAAAACCCGTAAATCAAAGCAAAGGAGAATAAGCTATAATACGTCAACCACACTACATCTGCTATATCTAGATATAGAACACATGTTCGAAAAAATCTTGTGACTCAAAGAAGGTTCATGTTACTACTGATCATTCATTTACTCAATGTCCTATTGTAAGCTATTAAATAAAGTTCATTAATTTCCTTAATTTATTATTGTAATCTATGAAATAAAACCCATTAATTTCTTAATGTTCTATTGTAGTCTAGGAAATAAACCATTAATTTCTTAGTGTTCTATTGTAGACTATGAAATAAAACCCATTCATTTTTTTAATGTGCTATTGTAGACTATGAAATAAGGCCCAATCATTTTCTTAATGTCCTAATATAAGCTATAAAATATAGCCCATTTATTTCTTAGCGATGTTTTGAAGGTTATCTTTGTGCAATCTTTTATTTTCCGAATAGGCTGTTAAAGAATATATTTATAGCTGTTGGGTGTTTTTTTGTTTTTCATGATTAAATGTATGCATATTTATTTCTATGTACGGCGTAATGAAGTTGGAATTGCTAAGTCGTAGCAAGTTCAGGAAAAAAGACCTACCAGTTTCTACTAGGGCTCTTTTCTCAAGTCACTAGTCAACGTCCTAGTTGTTAAAAAATAAACAAAAAATCTACGGAAAGAAAAGTAGTGTAAAATATAAATTATGCATTATAGTTAACTAATACACATACTTTACGACTCAGAAGTAAAAAGAAAAGCAACCTTAAGCCTCGTTTTAGAATTTGGCTGTTCCACTGGGTTCACAAACATCTCGTGTTCGTTGAAATTACATTTTAATATCTGGGTTTATTTCAGTCATTCGATATATGTAAACTATTTTAATTTTTTTTGTTTGAAACAATAAAAATCCCGACAGATATCTAATTGGTTCAAGGTAGTTCAGACATTTATAATTCTTTATCAGTTAAAAACACCAACCATAACAGTAACTTTTTTAAACATATCCTAAGGCCCGCTTTATGACATTTATATTTTCTGTTTTTTATTTCTAGATGGCAAGGAGCCCAAGTTAGCTGGAATGACACCACACCCTATGTCTAGTTGTTTAAAGTTGTTACAAAGTTAACCTAATGCCAATCTAATCTGGTACTTAAAGTTGTTTGTTGAAGGTTGCTAGTTCTATATATAGTTTTCAATGATAATTCTAAAGTGTATTAAAAATGTATTAAAATATTTCGTATCTAAGTATACTTACAGTATATATTTCATCTTACTTAAGATATGTAAACAATGAAATAAAAAGTACACATGTTTTCTGTTTTAAAAGAAGACATATTGTTGTATTTTAGTTATGTCATGAAAAATAAAATTAAAGATGTTGCGATGCTTATTGATCATAGTGCAATCTGTGAATCTATTGATTGTTTTCATGATGTAGAAACAACAACATCATAATCGATGACAAAATTTTCAGCTACATTTAAAACGTTACTGAACCCGGTGTTTATACAACATGCTAAATAATATTTTTTTCATATTTTGACGACTGTTCGTTATCACCTGACAACTACTGGATAGGCTTTGAGTAATATTATAGCTTTGAGAATGTAATACACAAGGCCTATCTGTGAATAACTGTCCCTAATTTTAAAGTGATAGACTAGAAGGAAGGACGCCTAGTTAACAACATCAACATCTACAGCCAGCTTTCAGAGATGCACTTGTTTCACCAAATAGAGGAATTTGATCGTAATAATTATAGTTCACCCATGACCTGAAAGTGCGGTAAGTACTTTTGCAGAATGGGACGTGAACCGTGAATCATCGGATTCATTCTTCGGGAAAGCTAACATGACGCTCAGCACGTTGGGTACAGATAGAAAATAGCTATTTATATATATATCGGCACTTGTGTATAATGTTGAAATATTAAATATACAACGTTGAAATCAATACACAATAAAAATCATATAAAATATTAACTGCATGTTTCGACGTGTCACACGTGATTTTCGGGAAGTGAAGTTGCAAGAGATAAATTTTATGTTTTCTTAAATATCACGTGACCTGTCTGTAATTTTGTATTTGTGCATAAATATCAGAACAGGTCTCACTACATTCTTAGACAGATATTCGCCGGACCTTCATCTCTATTTAATAGTTTATAATTATTTCTAAATTTCATTATATCCAGCGATTCTCGAGTATTAGTTGCTGTAATACCTTTAGGTTGAGTTAATACAACTGTTTTTTTCCATAATATGTTACGTTGGGTTTTACTCACATGTTCTGCTATAGCCGAATTTTCTGGGTTTTTTTCATTTTGTTCGGCTATACGATATTTTAAATTACGTTTTGTTTCTTCAATATAGATACTTCCAGATTCACATTCAATTTTATAAATTCCAAATTTATCCATTAATTATACATCATCTTTACTATTGCATAAAATGTGTTTTATCTTAATTATCGATTTAGATATAGAGCAAAACATTTATTGTTGTTTTTTAATTAAATAAACCAATAATTAAACCTGAAATCTATGGTAACACTAAACATTACCTTTCAATTTTATCATAACTTGGTTTCATTGTGATACCTTGATCTATGATTGCCACATTAGTGAATTTATTAACTACTCTATCTACAATATTTGGTTTAAGTTTTTTTTCAGCTGCTATATATTTCATCAGTAACAACTCATTTTTACATCATCTTGTTTTATACATATCCTCAGAATTTTGTGAATATAAGTGTAAAATGCAGACACTTTTTGTGTTTCTGTATGACATGATTCCTGGTGTGGTGGCATAAGGAAAGAAAAAGGTTTCCTAAAAAATAGATGTTTCTAAAACTCCCTGTTCATTCTTTTTTATCAATACATCTAAAAAAGGCAGACTATTATTTTTCTCAATTTCATAGTAAATTTTATAGAAGATTCTATACTATTCGAATATTGTGCAAACTCTGTTAATGCCTCAATACCATATGTCCACATCAATGTAGATGACACACGTAGTTCGCAATGGAGCTAAGAGTATATCAAAATCATATTGCTTTTTGCAGGAGTTGATGATGAATGCCATTTAAAGTGCAGCTACTTTTAAAACTTGAATAGTTTCCGCTATTTGCACCAATTCTATATTATTTTTCTTCAGGTAAAACTGACATCCCTCAAGAATTACAAAACAGATTTATTTAATAATGGGAAATTCATCAAGATATCTACTGCGAAATAATTCTGTATATTTTTATTAACTGAATTCTTGACTGATCACAAAGGCACAGTTACAATTAACAATCGTTATTTAAAGAAACACATTTAAAATGTATAATTTATGTGAAACAACGTCCAGCTGCGTCCACTAGAGAAATATCTGTAAAGATATTCTATATCAGCTTGTAAACTAATTTGGTGATATCTTTTATCACATTGTGTATATTGAGATATATTATTATGTTAGCTATTTAAACTATTAACGTCAGACACACTCAGAACAACTAGTGATACTCACGTGAATGGCCATCTCCATGAAATTTGAGAGATGTCATTACCTCAAGAGAACATCTAAGTGCCAGTAAAGAAAAAGCTAACTTCATGTACTATAAGTTATCGTGCAGCTATCTTTCTCATGGAAAAAGAAAAAGCATTGTTCTAGGTAATTATACAGAACAATAAGTAGCAAGATCCAAAGGAACTTGGATAAAGTGTTATGTGAAAATTACACATATTTTAAAAAAATAACAAATTTTGTTTGTTTCTGAATTTCGCGGAAAGCTATACGAGGGCTATCTGCGCTAGCCGTCCCTAATTTGACAGTGTAAGACTAGAGGGAAGGCAGCTAGTCATCACCACCCACCGCCAACTCTTGGGCTACTGTTTTACCAACGAATAGTGGGATTGACCGTCACATTATAGCGCCCCCACGGCTGAAAGGGCGAGCATGTTTGGTGGGACGGAGATTAGAACCCGCGACCCTCAGATTGAGAGTCGAGTGCCCTAACCACCTGGCCATGCCGGGCAACAAATTTTGAAAGTTTCTATTTTAACGCAAGATCTGACGTTTTTTAAACTAAATAAGTAATTTGTTGGCACTGCACATGGTTTTAAATTTGGATTTTTCTGTCCCCCATGATTCTTTTGAATATTTACATTTTCATATCCATCTTGTCTCAATGTTGTTTGTAACTGTATAACTTTAGAATTTTCCTTACCTGTTTTGTTTATAGTGAAAAAAATGGGACAAATTCCTTTGATAAAATATCATTAAATTACTACAGATTACTATATACTACATGCGTCTTTGTATGGTAGTATAAAGTGTACGTAGTGTTCCAAAAGTCTCGTTGCATTAGAAAATGAGACCTCAGAGCAAGCATGTGAAAAGTATAATTTCCTCTGTGGTCAGACTTTTAGGATATCGTGTATATGTGATAATTTGCTTATATTTAAGTTTAAATTTAGTAATAAGATGAATGAATTAGGAACTGGTTGTCAGACTAAATAAAGAAAATGTTGCATGTTTTTGATTATCGCTAGACAAAATCAACTTTACCACATGTTACTAACCAGTGAAAAATAAGGTTTTCATACTAAGCACGCTCTTTCTGGATCTAAGACAATGTTAGCTACATATATATTTAATGACTATTTTAACAAAGTCAATCTTTACACGCTTTGCCTGGCTGTAATATAATATTTCTCATTCCAACCTATTTCAAATCTTAGGGCATGATGAAATGGTGCATTATTGTCTTAGAAGAACCCTTGTGTCTCAGGGTAGAAATGTAGCATTACAGATGGGCTTATTGGCAATGTAGCTTTCAAATACAATTTTGATGTTATTTTTGTTTCTATGAGAATTAAAGAACTTCATTCCTAGCATGAGATCGTTCCCTACATATTATACCAGCCCTAGTGGCTTACACTTTGGAAACAATACGAGCAGGAACAAATGTTTTATGTGGTTTCTTATACATTTTCACTCTACTGTCAAAACACAAAAAGTTGATATATGATTTATCAAATCACATAACATGCCTCCAGTTGTTCACTTTAGACGCTATGCATCGCTGAAGCTGTATCAACTCAATCGTCATTACCGACAGTCAGTCACTATCGCTTGATGGCCACACTGTTCAACAACTTTGATGGCAGATGTTTTTTTAAACAGATGGTTAGATAAATGCTATTTGATGACGATATACCTACCTGGAGACACTTATCATGTTACCTTCTTGAGAGTCAGGGTGACCTTTCTCTTACCAACTGTTTTACAGATTAATAATGATGTGATTATATCTCTACATTTAGAAGGTTTAGAAAATTACAGACATTTCAAATGATCAGTCTCTTTTTTTGCACATGGAGCATTGTGCAAGTTTCTAAAAAGTGGCCAGCCGGCGTACTAGTACATTTATACACACTTTTCCATTCGTTTCTTGTTGGATTTTAAATTAATTTTACATTTGCTTTTCTGTTGGATGGCCGTTAACAAAACTGTACATTATATATGTTTTGACTATCCTGTATAAATAATTCAAGTTACTTGGAGCTAGCAAGACCAAGTTAGGCGTGTTGATTTAGAGTGGTCCAGGGGTGTCCTTATTTATATGTTGAAGCCTCCCTATCAAGGGGAGCTAAAACGTGCCTTGAAGGCTATCCAGGTATGATAGGAATATAGGAGTAGCTTTTTATGATCACTGAGTCCGAAACTAGTATTAGATTTGTGTTCATAGGCTTCCCTTGGGATCATATTTGAAACTGTGTTCATATCCTCACTCACAATCTAGTGGGATAAAGTGTGGCATACATTCTCAGGTAGCACAGGCAGTTGTTCTAACTAGTTATTTTTATAGGTACGGACCATTTTGATAATGGAGAAATTTGAGCGGTAAATTGGGGTCTCTGTAATTCATTCTAGTTAAGAAAATAAAATAATCTACGAACTTTTGCGGGTCGTAATAGGAAAAACTAGATTTTAGGAAGCTCTTTTGACAATTATATAAAATATTCTAGCTTTTCACATCATTTTTAACAATACACTATACGTTTAGAAACCCTCGATACACCTACTGAGGATAAGTGCATTATATTAAAATGATTCTAGAGCCTTACTATATCATTAGTGTTCATGCCACCACATTGGGTCATGCTCTATCTCTCAACTGTGCTTTTTGTCATTAGCCATGGAGTGTAGT